GTGAGGAATGAGACAATTAGACAAAGGGTGGGAGTAGCACCTATTGAAGATAAGATGCGGGAGTCACGCCTACGGTGGTTTGGTCATGTGCATAGAAGACCGAGTGATGCACCTGTCAGACGAGTTGAGATGTGTGGAGAAGAGGTAGGGAAGAGAGGGAGAGGAAGGCCCAAACAGACGTGGGTTAGGGGAGTCAGAACTGATATGCTTCTTCTTGGATTGGATGAGGGTATGGCTTTGGAGAGAGCAAAATGGAGGGCGGGTATTCGTGTTGAGGAGTGATCTTGTATCATCTTTTTTTTTTCTTCTTCTTCTTCCTCTTTTTTTTCCTTTTTCTTTTATATCTTTATCCTTATATATAAATATTACTTTATCCTTTTTATTTGATCTTTTATATGTATATTCATCTCTTTTATATTATCTTTTTTTTTATAATAGCTTATCTTTTTTATCTTTATTTTCTTTCTTTTCCTTTTGGTGATAATGTGATATCATATATCGATTCATGTTAGCCGACCCCATTATCGTTTGGGACTAAGGCTTGGATGTTGTTGTTGTTGTTGTTGTTGTTTATATGTTCTACTTTACTACATTTTATTTATTAACATACGCGTTTTTTAAATATTATTCAATTCGTCTCATCACAAATTACAAATTTTCAAAATCTGATTTTTAATTTTTTTATTAATAGAGAATAAAGTTTATTTTGTCTCACTGCTGCATATTATTAAATATGCAGCAGTGAGCATTAAAAAAGAGAAATAATTACATAAATATGACCAAAATAAAGATGGTTTACAAAAATATGACTAGTTACTAGAGTAGCAATGAAATCATAGTAATTCATGTTCAACTTTTGAACTTAAGTTACCACAACACTACTTTATAGTAATGAATAGTCATATTTATGTAAATAAGTTTTATTTTAGTATTAATCTTTGTAAAAACCTCTAAAAAAGAACGGAGGGGGTATATCATCATTATTACTCTCTCCGTCCCATTAGAAGGTTCTCACTTTCCTTTTTTGGACGTCCCATATAAAGGCTCTCATTTCCGTATTAGGAAACAATTAACAATCTTAAGTGATAAATTAATCATTAAATATTAAAAATAATACATTTACAACATCATAGTTATCAATACTAACTAGAGAAAAGGGGCAAATAAGCCCATGTACTAACTAGAGAAAAAAAGTCAAATAAGCCCTTATATAGGAGGCTCCGTCCGGCCGTCGCCATTTGGAGCGGTTCCCGGTGGATTTTTTTGATGAAATTTTTTGAGCATCTTATTCATTAAGTCTAGTTTACTCATACCAAATTTCAGCTAAAACTTCAATCGGGAAGGCATTCAAATGAATTCTTGAAGATAACTGCGCAGTTAAAAGCGCATTTATCTTCAAGAATTCATTTGAATGCCTTCCCGATTGAATTGTTATCTGAAATTTGGTATGAGTGGACTAGACTTAGGAAGTGTTTACTTCGCTGCTAAAGTCACAGTTAGGTTAGTATGACAGGTGAATAAACATGCACGCTGCTTAAAAAGCCTCTTACTAACCGAAAGAGGTGCTTAAAGTGTCGCTTACTAAGCATACCACTCTCCATGTATCAATTAGGCGACACTCTAAGCTTTTTCAGTTTTCGAATTTACCCCTTGCCCTTATCCTTACCCTATTGTTACCACGTTACCCCACCCCCGCCCTACCCTACTACCCCACCCCCGCCCTACCCTACTACCCCACCCCGACCCCACCCTATCCTATCTTACCCTACTCCTACGTTGTGGTAGAGGGGTATGGTGGGGAGTTGGGTGGGGGGTGGGGTTGGGATCGGGGTGGGCCGATGTAGGGGCAAGTGGTGTAGAGGAGTGAGGTTGAGTCGTGGTTAGGGGTAAGGGTGGGGAATGGGGATTGTGGGTAGGGTGGGGTCGAGGTTGGGGTAAGGTAGGGTAGGGTAGGCCTGGGGCATGACAGGCAAGGTGGGTAGGGGTAGGGTGGGGTCGAGGTAAGGTAGGGTATGGGTAGGAGTAATGTAGGATAGGGTGTAGGGTAGGGTAGGGGTAGGGGGTTAGGTGTGGGGGTAAGCGGGGCAGGGTAGGGGTTAGGGGGTATGGGTACACGTACGAGGTGACCCCCATATTATATTATATACTTGTGTTCATGTGTGTTTGTGTGTCTATATATGTATAAAGTTATTTTGGATATTTTAATGTTAAACGGTGTTTTAAACCTTTTGAAGTAAACACGATCTTACAACATTGCTTATTTTATGCGCTGCTTATTAACGCGGGTCTTAATAAGCACCATTTAGTAACCCGTGAAGTAAACAAGTCATTAGATAAGATGCTCAAAAAATTTCATCAAAAAATTCCACCTGGAACTGACCCCAAATGGCAACGGCCGGACAGAGCCTCCTATACAGGGTGTGTGTTAAAATTATTTTCCCCTCTTTAACAATGTCTTGCTGTAGCCATTTTCCTGACTCAGATCTGAAGTGAGTACTGAAAACGCTTGCCTATATGCTACGGAGTAAGGGTCAATTCTTGGTGTGCACAAAATGTGTACACAAATTGTACATTGCTTGTGTACATAGACAATTAGGAGGTTTTTGTCATCGAATAATGCTCCTTTTCAAACGAATTGCCTGTGTACAGACAACTAGGGGGTCTTATGTACACTTTGTGTATAACCCTTTTACACTAGAGTAATATAGAGGGATAGCGTTAGCTAGCCGCAATCCACTGGATAGCACTAGAGCAATCCACTGGATAGTTATATATAGTGATTGGAGAAGCAAGAACAATAAAATACACGGTAAAGTAAAAATAAGAAAAAGCAACACCAAGAGGATAATTATTACTCCGTAATTCGATACAATTGGCAATAATATCCCCATGTTTTTACTTTTTAGTGCCCCTCCTTTGGGAGGATGGTTTCGCCTGAACCTCACCCCTACCATGTTTCTGCATGTACCCTTCCTTACACATTTGGCCTGCCAAGTTTATTGCGTTTTTTTAACATTAACTATCAAGTGAAGGATTCTTCATGCCCATGTTCTTTGATAACCTTATTTCGATGTCTTGATAATAATGTTCTACAGGTTCCTGTGTTGTTTTGGTTTGGCAGCAGAGGGATCCACAATTTATTCCTCTACCGTGTCCCTTCAATGGTTTTTGTTGGGGTTAAATTTGCGGCAAATTCCTTATTTTGGTCAACCTGGAATTCTGATTTGCACGGTAAAAAGTCAGTGTCTCCATTCCAATAAGAACCATAGCAGTAGGGCGTAGAATGAGATTGTGTAGACAGCATTTTTTTATTACAAAAAAACAGGAACAGGTTTTTATAGAAAACCTCAGGTATTCGTATTATATGACAATTGTAATTTCTTCGCCCCATTTTCACTGGTGTTGGTGTAGTATATCACTATTTGTAAGTCAACAGTGATCAATTAAATGACAAAATCGTATTTATGGCATACTTCATATAAAAAGATCGCTTAATGTGATGTTAATTATTCTTTTACTTTGTTGCGTTGAGTTTTATGTTCAAGTGTTGCGCTTTTTAGCAATTCTAAAAAGTGTGGTCGTTGAACATGCAAGTACACCGTGAAAGTGAAAGTCAGTGGAAATTCATCCTCGGTATATAATTATACTACGTATTAAATACTCCCTTTTGTTCCTAACAATGTGTCAATGTCCTGATTTTCATTCACTTAATCTTTCACTTTACATATCAATTTTTTTAATCAAATTTGATTTTTGTCATTTTTATTTTAAATAATTTGAGTGTGAACATGAATCTGTTTTTCTTTATAATCGGTCAAGTATCGTGAATTGTGTCCCATGCATCGAGCACATTTATTTTTAAACGGTGCTTCGATGATGGCAAAATAAGTTCACCTAACCATGAGCATGTCATTTTTTTAATGGACATGTGGTTTGATGAACATCTGGATCTTTTGGAAATTATTCAAAATTTAGACATTTTTTTGTAATTATTGCAAACAAAAATGTTATTTTGTTAGTTCTAACCCTTGATCTGATATTATCAAAACTTCAAAAGTGGAGAATGAGATAAATCATTTTAAGAGTAATTACATTATCTGGCTTTAAACATAACATTATTTTTTCACATTTCTATTTAGAAAATAAAAATATAATAATTTCAATTTGAAATTTCAATATGTTTTTACTCCTATTTTGATAAATTTTTCTTTAATAAATCATGTACATAATCCTCTTGAAAAATAAATTTAATTGTCGAATAAAATGAAAATCGTTAGTTTTTGTACTCTGTATAATTTATATATCTTGATAAATTTAGTTTTCATATTTAATTATTATTATAACATAAAGGCACATGATCTCAAATTGCTAAACTTGTTACTTCAGGTGTCATGTTTAATTATAAGATATGTGAGATTGACATATTTTTTAAATCATCTAATGGACATAATTTGCACAGGCAAAATTCTCGAAATAAGAGTAAAAATGCTTTAAAATTTTAAAATACGAATGATATATTTTATTTTCTGAATAAGAGTAATTACTGCAAAAAATGAAAGATAATGCATTATATGTGATAACATTTTCAAACCTTAATTGTAATTACTTCTATTATTAAGAAAATGAAAACACGGAGTATAATAGTACTATTTCGGATTCGAAAATTTCTTATTTATACTAGTAGTATGGGGTGTTTGGATTTGATTCTCAAAACTGATTCAGAAGCAGAAGTTGGAGTGTTTGAGTGAAATTTCAGAAGCACTTCTGATGCTCTAATTTACTTTCAGAATCAGTTTTTTAGAAGCTGGGGAGTACCGGCTTCTGAAAACTGATTCTGCTTTAAAAAAGAAGCAGAATCAGTTCCAAACACCCCTATATCACAAGAGATAACATAGTAGGAAAAATAATTAAAGTTTCAGTCAAGAAAAAATGCTGTGTAAAAAATGCTGTCCAAAATTCCCGAAAAATAATTGAAGTTCCTGTCTAAGTATCTACCTACCCTAAGCCTAATTTGATAGCCAGAATATCGTAACCTTTAAAATGCTGTGTTCGGGTCATACCCGGGGCACACACAAAGCCCCTTTCTTCTCTTTCTACTTCAAAAATCGGAAACAAAGCTGTGATCTGCCATCACTGTTGTATAGCTAATGGTAAAGTCTCTATACCTTTCGATCTTATTCCATGTAGTTATACCGTTTTTGTTAGGGTTCGGAAATGACTTCAACAGCAGTTTGTCTCTATACACTGGGCATGCCATATGTACACTTCGAGAACTCGAACTTATATTCGCGATTGCCTAACATTCTTTCTTTGAGTTCGCTGTAACTATTTATTAGGCTTCAAGGTTCAATTTTGAAGCACCTTTGTGGTAGTAGGCTAAATATGCGGGGAGTTCCAAGTACTTATTTTTAAAAAGGTGTATTTCTGAGGTCATTGAGTGACACTCCCTGAAAGTTGGACACTTCATTGCACACATGCGTTTCATATTAAAAGGAAAGTAGAAAAAATAAAGGGACTTTTTCATCCACGATTTTTGAACTAAATGGTAATACTGATTTAAGGAAGTATTAAGTATGTATAGTATTTTTTTCAAGGAGATATGGGGTGACTGGGTGAGAGTTTCATAGGATCTTTGATCCGTTAGATGGACAAAACAAGAGGGTCAAGCCAACTATTTAGTATACAAACAGCACCATGTGAGGTGCAAGAGACTTTCCAAGCAATGAACACAATTATTTACATCCTCCACTCTTCCCGCTTTTAATGTTTGTATTCAATTATATAACTACATAAGTATTTCCTTTATACAACAACAACATCCAAGCCTTATTCCCAAAAAATTTTAGGGTCGGCAAGTATTTCCTTTATGCTGAAACTTAATGTATTTAGGTTTGTAATTCCAGTTTCAGTATTATAACTAGAACTTTATTTTGCATGGAATAACAGTTGTATGTTTCAACTTTCAATCGTGGTCTGAAAAGGCTTTTAGGAGGTATGCTGTGTCTAGAAACAGTTATTCGGCCCCTTGGGCTTAGATGCACTTGTGTTTACACGGGCTTAGATGGGGAATCAGGAATCATTTTGGGCCTGGCTTGGAAGAATAAAGAAAGAATTTAAAGTGGATAGGATAGGCCTAGCGCTCAGGCGGGGCTGAATCAAGAAAAAGTCGGAGGCAGGTAAGGGAGGCCTAGTATCTAGGCTAAGCTGGGCAGGGTTTTTAGAACACTGCACGCACCTTTAGGATTTCCTTAGTATGATTCTGAAAACTAGGTGAATGAACTGAGCCCTCACACGAACCTGGTTGTAAAGTTCACTTATTTCACGTAACCTACGAACTATTCTGCACTCCTGTAGAAATGTAAACCACCCTTGCACATGCAGAGCTACTGAGGTACTACCAGAGTTTTTCACTTCTTTTTTGCTGCAATGTTCAAACAACTCCAGCTTCTTTCCCCCTTTTGATTAGATCAATAAAAACAGAAGCTATAGAACAACTTCTTTAGTTTTTCTTTTGCTTTCATCATTTCCAAAGTAACAATATCTTCAGCCATTTCTTGATTTTCTTCTTTCTGAGTGTGTTACCGTGGTTTATGACTTTTAGTTCTGACTTTTTTTTGTATACACTATAAAAACCCTAGCTAAATAGCTGTTAGTAGTAGTTCCTGAACAAAGACATAGGCTTCTTTGAGATGAAAAACAGTCATAATTAAAGAAAATATGTAAATACACACTTTACATTCCTTTGGTACAAATCGCTTGTATTTAAATACTCATTTTACTGCTTTGTGTAGTTTTGGCTTACAAATCGCTCTTATACATTCCTGTCAAGTTATAAGCCATTTCCATGAAAGTGGCTTCATAGTCAACACTCAACAACATTGCAGTCTTAGAAGAGATGCTCTCTCGTTGTCTATATCGCTCCTGCATTTTTTTTTTTGCTTAATTGTTTAGTTGAAATGTGACTCCATTGTGTTTATGGAATATTGAACAACCTCAAACTTTCGTTTCGGGTCATGTCAAATTGAATTTTCATTGTCCTTCTTAGCCATTTTCACTTTAGTAATAGTTGATACTACCTCCGTCCCATTTTATGTGTCTCCTTTGGTTTTGGCACAATTTTTAATAAAGTGGTTGAAAATGTAAAAGTTGTGGTTGAGATTTGAGTATAGTAAAGTGAGATGTTGTGAACCACATATTTCTTTCCAAAAGAGGAAAGATGATACTTATTTTGGGACAACCCAAAAAGGAATGTAAGACAGGTAAAATGGGACGGAGGGAGTAGTAGTTTTGGAACTGGCTTGCTATGAAGAGCACATAGCACAAGTAGTAGTATAGGTAATACTTGGATTTACTATTCTGATTATGAAGTAAGGAATTGAGGATTGAAGTATTGAAATAAGTGGACTATAACTCTTCTGTTGACTTCAAGGGTCAACTTGCCTCAGCATGTCCGTGTGTGTCGCTATGGTGCTATATTGACTATATCTTCGTTTGTTGCAAAAATGTAGTGGATCATGACTTCCAATTTTTTCACTTCATGATATACTTACTGTATTGCTCTCTTTGGTTGTTTGTGCAGGCTAATAAACATACAATTATTCTCATGCAAACATCTCCTAATAGAGCAACTCGCACTTTTATGGATTATGAGTCCATTAATCAAGCAATGGATGGTATAGTTCTTTGGTGACAATTTTATATACTTAGTGTTGCTTCGCTGTGACCATGTACATCTTCACCTACTTTGATGATTCAGCTTTCTTTGTAGCATTTTAGCTCCATAAAGCCGTAAGCATGGCAACCGTAAAGAAATAGGAATGTTTAAAGGCGTGGTGGGTGGCAAAGAGCCCCCACCTTTGTGAGGCAGAAGTGTACATTAAGCAAAAGAAGGGAGTAGAACAAGTCAGTAGATAGAATGATAATGACTTCATTGGAATGTAGCAAGAGCACTTTACGTATCAAACAGGTGCCCAAATAGTAATAACGAATGGCCAAAAGGTTCCAAGAAACCAAAATATAATGTCCAAAGTAATAAAAACGTGATTCCCTTGGCATCTATTATCTTTTAGTGAACTAATGAGAAACGGATTCTATAAACACCAATCTAGATTCTTGGATTGCTGACCATTTTCTGTCATATTCCTTCTATATTTGGATTGATTTCCTAATCTGCTTTCATCTACCACTATTTCATAATATTACTAACCAGTTTCCTAATTTTACTGTATCTAGTACCAATATTTTTCTTGCAGAGTTTACGTTAAGCTTATTGTATACGATATACTAGATAAGGTAATTAGTGGTTTTCATTTTTATCATCTGCTGTGCTGGAAGCAACTTTCTACTAATTATTTTACTTCACAAAGCTACAACTTACTTAATTTACATCAGGTGTTAATCAATAAAAATTTGATAAGGTAAAGAATTCATATTTCTTAATCTTGTGTGGTTTAGTGTTAATTGCTCAGACAATATGACGATGTAAACTGATGCAATGAAACTCATCTCGAAGGAAGAAAACGACTAGCTTTTGGTGGCTTGCGAAGTTACTTCTTGTGTAGGATGCTATTTTTTATTTCACCCATTAGTGTATGAAGGGAAGCCTATACACCCTTCCGGTGGGACCCTTCCTCAGACCCTCGCGTTGTGGGGATGCCAATGTCTGCCGGGCGTCCAGGCTGCCTTTTTTTGTTTATAGAAGTGCATAGTAAACGGAGAGTTAGATTTCAGGATGATTTTTTAAACTTATGATAACTTGCGATCTTCTGTGGTTATGTCTGATCGTATTGATATGATATGAGATCCAGGATTTATTGAGTTGTGTGTTTTTGTGTTGGCTTCTGATAGAAGTTGTGCTGATCAGCAGGATCAAAATTGTTGTATCGTGAACTTATGATTAATTAGAATTCCCAGGATAAGTTTTTGGACTAAATAATAAACCAAAGTGATTACAATGGCAGTATCATAATTGAATAGATGATGCAATATATGAATCATAAACATTAAGGTAATGGCCCTCAATTTACAATTGGGACATTTTCAACTTCCATTTTAGAAATGTAGATGAGTGGAAGTGGAACAAATCAATTTTGGGGATTAAAGTTCAATATGTCACTATAGTTAGGGAGACTAAAATGGAATGAACTCTTTGGAATTGGCACACTTCAGACTTGAAGACGAAGCAGACATGCCACTGAAATATCACAAATACAAGTCCTAAGTCATAGTTTGTTTCTACAGTAGAATGAAGGTGTGTCACATCCTATAAACAAGGACATAAGTCACAAGACTAATGTGTCATCTCTTTTATGTTTTCTTCTGTTGTGTAAATCCAATTGAAGTCGTGGGTGAGAATATGTTTAGTGTCTTAGTGACCCCCCACCCCCAGCACACACAAATTAAATACTTCAAATCGCTGCTTACAATTGCTACACTGAAAAATTTCATGGAGTTCATTAATTCAATATGGTCTTCACCAAAAGTCCAAAAGAAAAGGAACCTCACCCATGTATACCTTCTAGTTTTCTACACACAGGGTGGCCAAACCCCTTTCTGTATAAGCATCATGTTCCTGGAATTTTGTGTATTTGAGCTTTTCTCCAACCTAACTGATTGCATTTGTTTTGAGGCAAAGCATTAAAACTTTTATGAATTGACCAGTGAAGTATGTTCTTCAGGATGGACACAGTTATTAACATGTTATGGTAGAAAAACTGATAACTGGCCTTCTGTGACTTTGTTGCAGGGATTTGTGCACTATATGAAAGAAAACTGAAGGAGATCAACCCAACCATAAGAAACATCTCTTATGACATCTCTGATCTTTACAATTTTGTTGATGGGCTTGCAGACATGAGTGCACTAGTGTAGCTCTCTCTGTCTCTCTTCTGTATGCATTGTTGCATACAATGCATTTTTAAATATCAATAAACCATAAAATGCAATTTATGTGTCGAATTGTTTCCATTTTGCAGCTATGATCACTCAATTCAGGCTTACTTGCCATATGATCGGCAGTGGATAAAACAGAAGACATTTAATCATCTGAAAAAACTGGCCTTACATTAATTTGGTGTATGATAATTCTCCATCCATGTGGAGTTTCATGGTCTTCTGGGAAGGAAAATGCTGCAATGAAAGCTGTTAAGAATTATTGTGCAGATCCTTGATCAAATACTCTCTCGTTGTATCCATTGCTGATGTTTCTATTGATGCACATAAAAATATATTTTTGTATTTGCAGCATTAGATTGAAGTCAAATTGTTATTATGCCATAAATTTGTATCTGGTCTGGTGATTGGCTCTCAGGCTCTCAGCACACTGCCCCTATTAAGTTGTCAGCATGTAAACCGTGTGCTTAAGTTCTTAACTTTATCAGTATATCAGTGTAGTAGGTTTTTTTTAATCCTATTTCATGGTCCATGAATGAATGAATGATGAACTCACAATACCAATATTGAAATATGAAATTACGTAGTATTTTATAGCTACAATCTCGACTTGTAGCTGTTTAGTGGTATTTTAATGACTTTTGCAATGGGGTGACATCTAATGTAAAACAATGTTTTGTGTGTGTGATGGTAGAAGTGAACATATATCTGATATTTGACACAATCTTATCTCACTCATCTTAACCCAACATTAAGTTATTAAGGATGCAAGATAAATGGATCAACATCGTGTTTGCCCCCCACAAACTATGGATGCATGATAAATGAAAGTGGGTTGGGTTTGCCAGTTTGTTCTCAAGAAACTCGAGAGGTTGCAGTCTCAGGTAGGGGATGATGTGTTATTTTAAAATGATGTGGTAGTGACACGCCCTTCGATCGGAAATGTGTTATAAAAGAGTCTTTTTTCAAAATAAGAAACTACAACATTCAAATAACAGCATTCTAAGCCCCAGTCTTAAAAGAGTTTGAGATTGGCTAACATTAATTGAATAATTGACAATATGATAACCGGAGTTAAAAATGGCCTCATATGTACTACTGTGAAATAGAAATGGAGTTTTTCCATTCATGAGTTGTATATTGCATTGCTCTCTTCCTAAAAACAATCAAAACGACCTTATATTACTGGGGATATATAATGAAGTATTATACGAGTGAATTATGGCCATCTAAGCAATGAGACTAGAAAGCACTAAGTTTATACTTTTACACACAAAAATTGCATGATCTTTCTATGTTTGGGTAGTGTAATCTTGAACATTTCAGAATTATGGAATGACAAATCATATATTGAAATGACAAACATTTATTGAAAATCCATATATTCAAATGGAAAATCATACAATAAACTATAGTTTATTTAGGGTTGTATAGGGAATTTGGGAGTCGACCCCACCCCTCACAAACACAAATTTAAACTGGATTTTCTTTACTAGCAACACCTATTTTTTTTATTAAGAAACTTGCTACATGAATGTCTAGGACATTGAACACGGTGCCAGTTTGGATGCATAGTAGTAAGTTTCTCAACCAAAGTTAGATGTTTCTAGTGAGGTGAGGTCACTTTGGGATTGTGTCAATAGTCCAAAGAAGTCCTTTATCACAATCCAAAACAAACTATAATTTTATCCAAACTTTTCTATGAAACGTAAAAAGTCCATGTAACATAAAAACCAACCCGAAAGGTTTTGTATAAAGGCATAAAGCCTTAGAGCAACTCCAATGCAAGGGTGTGGTCTCTTATACACCCTTACACATGGGTCCCATTTTTATCTCACAATTTTTATGTGTAGGACCCACGTATTTCTTAATTTATTTTCATTTTCATTTTTTTTATATCACTTTTAATCCACTTTTCATCAACTTTTCCTCCTCAAATCCCGTGTAAGATCCATATTTGGACCTTGTCATAGACCTTGGTCCATTTTTTATCTCTATTTTTCTCCTATGCCACATCACTGCAATGCACCCTCACATTGGAGAAAGGAGATGCTCTTAGAATGCTACCCTTTAAAATTATTTAAACCATAGCACATTATTTTCATTTTCCAATCTCAATTTTCAACCTCTCAAAAGTACTTATAAAGAGTGTTTTTCAAAGTTCAAACCAAACTTCAATCCTAGACTAGCTCTTACAATGGCTACTTTTGCTTAACCAAGTATCATCACTTAGCTCTCTTTCTCCCCCTCCCCCCCCTCCCCCCTCCCCACCTCATCTCTCTCTCTCTCTCTCTCTCTCTCTCTCTCTCTCTCTCTCTCTCTCTCTCTCTCTCTCTCTCTCTCTCTCTCTCTCTCTCTCTCTCTCTCTCTCTCTCTCTCTCTCTCTCTCTCTCTCTCTCTCTCTCTCTCTATCAGCCTTCCAAATCCATCCCAAACACGTGGCATCATTAAGCAAGTAAAAAGGCAAACAGTTACAGTCGTTAACAAAGCTGTGACAAATAAGAAGCCCGCTTTGGGTTTTTGGTATTCAGCATATATTGAAGTTCATAACTACACACACTGTACGAATTGATATTATAGTCCTGCTAGGCTGCAATATACACTCACACCGTTACAGAAACATACACTGTTTTGTGGTACAAGTGGTGGTCTACTATCTATCTATATTCTATAGATATAATTATATAATTTGCTTACAACAACAAAAAATCATGTGGAATAAACAGGAACAATTACTCTAGCCAACCAATTGCAGCATCCAAAATTCAGACACAAAATGAATGGTTTTCTTTGGTCTGATAAATAACTATGTTGGCCTGTATATGTTATCAAATCCGTGTAGCTTTTCCTCAAGAAAGGATCAAACCACATTAACATAGCCCCTGGCTATCTAGCACTGTCCATGCTGTCAACAAGGGAAACAAGCTCAATATTTTCGTTCTGAGTGCTGTCAGGAGACTCATGGGTCACACGCGTAGAGACCAAACCTTCGCTCGGGAGGAGGATAGAGTTGGGATCACTCCCCGGGACCAAGAACAGGAGAAAAAGAGGAGTAACCCTTAACACGTTTCTTATCAAGAGTGCTAGCCATAACTTTTCAAACCGTGTCCTTGTGATTTTCAAGACATGAAGTAAAATCCCCCCACCCCATGAGGATGTGAGAAGGCCAGTATTGTCAATAGACATGAGCAGTGCGAAGATTGTGCCCTCAATGCCAGGTGGACAGAGCTTGGCAGTTAGTACCAAAAGGGGCATCCACTTCAGTCTCCCTATCATTTGAGAGATGCCCGAATCTATAACCACGAAGAAGTAATCTGGTATGCCGAACCTCAAGTTTAGGCGTAGTATGAGAACCAAATCCAGCATTCCTGAGAGACCATACAATAATTGCGTCCAGAAAAGAAGCCCTCTGAAGGGGTGATCTTTTAATCCATACTGGTAAAGTATAGCACCCAACAGAGATCCGATGGACCCAATAGCGGATATGTAACCAATACTCTCCTGCATGTAAGTAATAATACATCAATTGTTAAAGAACTTATTAGCATAATTTTGATGATAGTAAGGAATAGAAACAAAAGAACAAAACAGGCCTTTTGTATGTTTCAATCAATGGTTCTCACAACATTTCACTTTTTAAAGGAGTGTTTTAGGAAACACATGGTTCAATCAATCAGAGGCCTAACCGCCTAACCGGTTCTTAAAACCCTTAAACACAGTTTCCTAGTTGAACAAGATTAAACCAGACCAAATTAGATGAACTGGTTAATTCTAGAAAAATAACTGGTGTATTAAAAGTAAGAAAAATGTAAGAATTTTTTGAAAGGGCACTTATGTAATTCTCATACTATCATTTCCCGAACAGGGAATGTAGAACAGCTAATGATTAACGGATTAAGGAGTACATACATGCATGCATCATATGTAATTAAGTTTATATCTGTCTACATATACACAGATTTATGCATTGCTTTTTTTCACAACAGAAGTTTAAAATGGTTTGCGCCTACAGTTGAACCGGATACACTTCAATGGTTCGTTTTTAAAGCACTGTTATAACGTGACTAGGAATCTAGTCTGAGATAATGGAAAACAAGCTTAATAGCTCAAGTAGTCATCAGATCGGGTGGGGGAGATCAAATCTAGGTTTTGAAAGATAAATGCAAAGTGTTCTGCATTTATGAAAGAAACACTGATGTAACATTGTTAAAAAATCAGGCATGCTTATATGGAAATATGCATGACAATTGAAAAGATCAGCTCATTCGGCGCACCTTTGAGAAACGAGGTCCTCCTTCTGCATCTGTCATCCAGTAGAACATCCCTTCAGAGATATCAAAACTTAATGCAAGGGACAAATACATATACACACATGGACGCCACACAGCAGGGCATTTTAGGGTTTTCCACATAGCTTTTGCAGCACTCCCAAATTTCTGGCTTACCTGAACGTGTATTAATAGATTAGACATTAAATCAAAAAAGGAAATTTCCTGATGTCACCATCAGGCATGTGACATTTCTCAAAATGACCCCATGGTATCCCAACTAAAATACCTGTAAAATTTTCCCGAGGTAACCCTCACCGTAAGAACAGTATATATGGGAAGGTCATTTTGAGAAATACTGAAAACCTGAAGGTTACACCTCTGGAAGCTTTCCAATAAAAAATAAAGGATTAAAATAACACTGACATTAATTAAATATTATGTATATACTACTCAGTCTACTCTCAACAACTTTAACCTTAATACCTGGTGAGAAGGAGAATTGTGCAAATCAGGTTCCTTGAGCAAAATCCCAACCAAAAACACAAGCCCAAATGGAATAGCCAACAAGCCATACACCCCCTTAGGCCCAAGTACATGGACGGAGATGCCACTTAGGGAGAAGCCCACAAGTGAACCAATAGAGGCACTCAAAGCACATAAGCTTTGCATGTCGGGTGCAAGGGAAGGATGGGCACCACTGTTCTGTGCCACGCAAGCATCAACAGTAACATCAGCAATTGCAACTCCGGCACTTCCCGCTGTTAAGGAGAGGAGTGCAAACACAATATGCAGGTTCGTGTGCAATGATAAGAAGAGCATTGAGACAATTCCGATAGCCCCTGAAATGACCACACCCAATACTCTATAATAAAAGAAAACGATGATTTCAGTTTGTCTTTTCTATTTATATGGTGGCTGATCCCTTAATAATTACATCACAGAATGAGGCTTAAAAGTTCAAGTTTTTCTGAATAGGTAAAAGTGTCTGTGGCTTATTATTGTACTTAGCAGATGATCTATGGCTTCCCTCTCCTGGTCTACCTCTAGTCCATTAGTGATTGTTCTTGTGGGTACAGTGCATTTTCTTTTTGCTCTAAGTATGCTACAGCTTATAATGGTTATGATATGAAACCACATAAAATCTACAGAATACAAGAAATACAGTTTGGAGAGACAGGGGAGGAAGACAAAGGAATTTGGCACACGAGTTAAGGAAAAGTGGAACTGCATGGTTGATCTTGAATTTGTAGTATATATATGAGACCGAAAAAAATGGAAAAATGAGAGAAATAAAGCTGGAAGAACGGAGTACATTTTTCATAATCTATACACCTTTGATATTGTGTCCATGTTAAATTCACATTAGGCATGCTCACTACTTTTAAACAATGAGGAAAATATTTAAGGTTAGATGTTAGAAAAAAGAATTTGCTCACTTTCACAAAGGCAACTTTGGGGTTAGAACAATTGAAGAGAATGTAAAACATAGGTGGAAGTGTGGAACCCATTTTTCTTCCTTTTATTTCTCTCCAAGCCAAACCATGTTTTCATTCCTCCCACTTATTTTCTTTTTTACCCATTTCTCTTCATACAAACAAAACCTTAGTGTCAATTAATTGTGTACAATTAGGTAATGCAATAATTAATGCATCAAAAAACATGATGGCAATGCTTTGCTTTACATTTGGTGTGCTATACTGCTTCACATACTAAACATCACTCTAGTTCAAACTAATCAAACATGCCAGTTTGTAAAAGGTCACATTGAAACTTTGGGCAACTGATTTCCCCCCTGAGTAGGACCTTCCTAAGCAAACCATCATCATTACCACCAATGTGCCATCCCATAATCACACCTACATTGTTAACACAATAAAATTCATGCAATATGTGTGTGTGACCCCCCTAAGCTATAACAGTGACTGGTCAGAGATTTTATATTAATATATGTGTGCTAAATACACTAAAGCATCAATTTGTCACAATTTAAGCTATTTAAAGTATCAAATCATAGCCAAAACCAGCAAGATGCAACGGCAAAAATGTACCAGCAAAGATGAAGTAAGGTCTTCGGTGATATCCCAAAATGGGAACAACATCAGTGAGGAGCCCCCAGAGTGGTTTAACAAGCCAAGGGATAGTAGTGATTCCTGTATATACCTGAGCCTCAGAAGGCTCCACCTTCTGCACATCCTTCATGTAGTATTCTGTTCCCACACGAGCAAACGCTCCACCCAGCCCCTGGCTTATCCCATACACCACCACCACGCCAAACACAAAGCTCCAGTGCGTTTTTCTGGCAAGCATTCTGAACCAGTCAACAGGCCTGGCAGATATGCACCCCCAGCTCCTCCTCTGACCTCCCCCATCTTCTTTTCCATGTTCCTCACTGTCAATTGGGAGTTTCTCCTCCTCTCCCATTCAATTAATATGCCTTCAAATCTTCTGAAGCAACAAATACTTTAGGAAGCAGTGGGAAAATGTGTCTAAGAAGAAGCCATCTTCCTAAGAATTGGGGATCTTGTACACGGAATTTCTGCAACCATGATCAAATCTCATTTCAGCTTGACAATTACAAACAAACAAAACAATAAATCAATAAGTAAATAAGAAAATGAACAAATAGTGAGAACTCCAGTACAGAGTAGAAGATTATTGTCCTCATAGATGGTTTACCTAAAAACCAGGAAAGAAGTCAACTTTCTGGAAATGGGGGATCTTGGCATTGCAGTGGATATGGATAGGAGATCAAATCTTTTTTCGACCTGCCATTGTGCATCAGAGCAATGCGTTTTCGAACCTGGGCTAAAGATTGAAGGAAGTTGGACTGCCAGGTCTCATCTAACCGTGAAAGCCTGAATGAAATGCTATGGAATCCGATTGATTGTTCAAGCTGAAAGGCCGTTGAATCCAGGAAAACGTGGGCTTTCCTATTTTTAATTGATAAATGAATGAATGAAAGAGACTTTCCTAAAGAAAGAAAGGAAGAAAGAAATGAATGAGACGTACTGTTTGGTAAAAATTTGGGATTCTCTGCCATATATGACACCGTACCTGACCGACCGCCGTAAGATAGATGATTGTGGGGTCCATTTGGAACGCTGTCTTGTGTTGATTGATGATGACTTCGAGGATCTAGGTGCCGTGTCTGACTTCTCCGGCACCGTCTGTGTTTGAGAAGCGGGATATTTGATTTTACTACCACCTCCGTCCCCCTAAGTTTGACAAGAGAAAGTGGCACGGTTATTAATAAAAGTGGGTTTATGTGGTTGATATTGAATTGATAAAGTAAGAATGCTTTAGAACCACACAAATTTTACCAAATAAGGTATGAGACAATCTTAGTGGGATGGACCGAAAAGGTAAAATGGGACAATCATAGCGGGACGGAGGGAGTATAAGATAAGATAAAAAAAATTGAGTTACCTTCGTGTACCTTTTACGACAGAACTTTGGGTCTTAACATGGTATCAGAGTAAATTTCGGTTGTGATTTGACAGCTTGTTTAACACTCATTATTAAAAGTAGTTTGTTAAAGGTTTGTTTGGCCCGTTTATACACCCCGATGTGGCGATATTGTCCAGCCCGAACTTGGGGGCGTATTAAAACATTTGTCCCACACCAGAAAGCTATAAAACAATTAAACACTATATCAGGCTTTGGGTTACTCCTCCTACAGGTTGACCTTTTAGAATAGAACCTCAAGTCTTAACCTCCTCCAACATCTCACTTTTTTTTGAAAGGTCCAAATCAAAGTTTCAATTTCCATTTTGACAAGTTTTTTTATAACAAATTCATTACTATATTCTTACTCTATTTACTTACTTAGACTTACCCCATCTCTCGTACTGCTTTCGAACCACATACTTTTGTTAGTCAGTTACCCATGGGAATTAAGTTTAAAGTATGATTATTCAAAGTATATGTGCAAGTAAATTTTGTTAGTCAGTTACTTGAGGAAATTCAAAGCATGATTATGTAGAAGGTTGTCATTGTATTATTGCATGAATACTAGAGAGATGAAAAGCGACTTAAAATATATGTGCAAGTATATCAAATGCAAAAAGTGAATACAGGTGTCAAATGACAATGGCCAAATAACAATAACATAGTTCAACAGAAGTGAGTTGTACAACCGTTCAATATAATGTTTCCTTTAATATTTCATTTATGTACACCATTTAATTAGGAAAAATTGAAAACAATAATCTCAACTATTGCCGGACCGCTAACAATAATCTCCACTATTAATTACTTTTGTATAATCTTTACTACGGAGTATATGGATCGTCCCCCAATAATGGTGCATGACTAGATAACAAGTGAATTTCAAATAGAAATTAAGCATAGAAATTAAAAGTTGGGATTATTTATAGGGATTACTTGTTATATCTCTTCTCATCCACTTTAAAAACTATAGAAATTTATTTATAGCCGATCACATTAGACCATTATTGGCAGAAGGTCCCTAAAGTTTGGATTATTCCGAAATAATCGATAATTGAGATTATTATGAGCTTACCGCCAATATTTGGATTATTACTATCAATTTTTCCATTTAATTATTATCATTCTATATACGCATTCACCACCTCTCCTCGTTCACTTGGAGGAGAATTTTAATTTGTTTTATGTATGAATGTGAATTATTATCCATTGAATGCCCTCTTAGTAGGTTGCGTCTATTATCCTTTCCCTCTTAGTCTTAGTTGACTTTGTATTCATTTTAAATCAAACTAAAATTATCATTTATTTTGTTGTTCTTCAAAAACCTTCAAATTGGGGAACTTAAAAATTGAACATTTAGAAGATTCTAGAGGATTTTGTAGTTCGTAATGCTTTTAAAATTCTCTAAACAAATTCAAAGTTCATTCTCTTAAGTATCTTCCCATTATATATAAGTGACCAAATATTGAAATTGCATAATTTAAAAAAATTGTGATTTCTTGTCTCATACAATCTTCAAATTCATTTACCATATTGAAATTGCTTACCTTATATTGAACTACACCTTTCCCGTTTAATTTTTGGATTTGACCTGAGCATGTGTTTTGACACCATATATTAAAGCTCTACTATGAAGTTGGAGATGAATCGAGGGCGTAGCTCACCTTGTAGGAAGAGGGTGTCACATGGGAGAGATCCCGATCGAGTTCAACACCAGATAGGGGTGGACTCGGGCCGGGCGGCCCTACCCGGAACCGGCCCGGCCCGGTTACTGTTTGGCCCGACACCGGGGCCCGGTGGGTCCCCCGGTTCGGTTTGGCCCGGCCCGGGTGATGGGTGGTCCGGGCTCAAGCCCTGCTTTAGGTGAACCGGCCCGGCCGGTTCGGGCCCGGTGGCCGGATTTTATTTTTATTATTTTTTTTTTTTGAAAATTTTTTAAGTTTTGGGTTGGATTAGGTATTTTGGGCCATTTGAGGTGGTTTGGGGTGGTTTGGGGTTGAGGGGGAGGGGGTTAAATAGGAGAACCAAAAAAAATGGCCCGGTTTTGCCCGGCCCGGCCCGGTTTGACCCGGAACCGGAACCGGCCACTGGCGGTTCGGTCTCGGGCCCTAGTTTTCTGGCCTGAGGCCCGGCCGGGCCCAGGCCTGAATCGGGCCCGAACCGGCCCGAACCGGCCCGAGTCCACCCCTAACACCAGACAATGACTTGGATGGAACCTCACTCTCTTTTCATCATGGAGATGAAATTATTTTTGTTAAATCAAGGTGATGCATGCATATTTTTCATTATCAGTAACGCATTGTAACTCTATGGAATTGATATGTTTACTTTCTTAGATTCGAAAATATAAATGAAGATTATTCGTTCTAATTGAACAAATGACATAAAGGAAAAATGAAATAATGCTTTCTTAGATGAGAAAGTTAGTCTCTGCTTTCATTTGCAACAAAGTAAAACAAACAAAGTAAAACTTTCCTATCAAATATAATAATAAAAAATAACTTAGCAATTTAAAAGTATCATTTAGCCTATATTCACATTACCAATAGAGTAGTAGTGCAACTTAAAAAACTAATAAGACATGCAACTAATTTGGTTCTACCAACCCACCAATCGATCTTCATTGAAACAATTTTATGTTTTTTGGTACAATAAGAATAAAAGGCTATGTATAACATGCCCGGTAGAAAATTTATATTCTAGGAATTATCAACTGCAACTAGATTGGATGTAATTATTTGCATAATTCAAATCACTTGAAAACAAAGAGTCAATGTTAAATGTCAAAACGAAACCACGATAACTAGATTTGAGGTAATGTACAAATTTCATATCACATGAACAAATCATTTTAATTCTAAAATGTCAAAATGAAACCGTTATACTAAAGTACGATAGACAACATGTCTTCTATACCGTCTTCTATGCAATGATGGTGCACCAATCCGAGGACGGTAGAAAGATAACAAAATCTATTGGAAGCAAGCCAAAATGTTACTACAGATCACGTTACATACTGTGCTAAATGGTTTATCAAAGTTTTAGATGAATTAATCTTGATCATTTATCACACCGATGTACTTCATAGTGATTACATTGACGTGCTCCATATATATCTAAAAAGGTACTCCGTATAATGCATTAATGCCCGAACATGACATTTGCAACACAACAAAGTTTCTTTTGCTCAAATACACAAACACACCCTTTCTTGAGGGCATTTTGTTGAACATATTTATGCCATTGAAGTGAACAATGATAAAAAAAATTATGGAGTCATATAACACATGTGGCATTATCACAACCATTTATTTCTATAATGGATTTATAATGGAGGACCTTATTTCATGAATGAATGATTGTGATTTGTGATGGTGCCACATATGCTATATGACTCAATAGTGAAGTCATATAGGGCTCCATAAAATTTCCAAAACAATGACAGTACCAATGGTTAAACATAAGTTAGTTGTACACTTCTACTTCGTCCAAAAAAAATTGTGAACTATGGACTTAAAATGAATATATGAAATATAACTGTGACTTAACTGTAGTAAAAAGTGTGTACATTCAAGAGAACCACGTCACCATGCACACAAATAATTGATTTTTAGCAATCCAAAAAAACTTACACCCATTCAAAAAAACGTACTCTCCACAGTGAGGTAGGACAGTCGTTTAAAGGCACATGGAGTATGAATTTGAAACGTCCCTAAGGCTACTTTTAAATAAAACTGTAACATAAAAAAGACGATTGTCTAATAAAAATCATGTTACAATCTAATAAAGTAAATACAATAACTTCAGATAAAAACTTCACTAAATCTTGTTATCATCAACAAATGTGATAACTACTTGGATCCATGAATTTACTGAAAAACAAAATACTTCAAATCAAATTAAGTAATAACAGTCACTTTGTTATAAAAACTGAAATTCTTAAATAAAACATTAACCAAGAGTCAGGCCAACTTTTTTCCTTTGAACTCGTTTTGGCGTGCATTTGAGCCCCCCATCACCATAGAAATTGGCCATACCAATGGTATTTCTACATGAGAAGAAGAACAACTGATAAGCTTTATGCACTTAACAAATACGGAGTACGTAGTAACTTACAAACATCTCAAACAGATTCTAAAAGAGATATCGAAAGAATAAATTTTGAAAATAGATCTCCAGCAACTGCTAAATGATCTTAGATGTGACCATGAAATAACACGTCTAGTCCCAATGGTTTCAGTCTGATAGCTTAGGAGTGATTCACTGAACATATCGGAATCTCTGAAACTTTAAACTCTAATAACTCTATGGAAACTTATTTCTGAGTACATATCACTTAACTTTTACGTAACTTTAAATATGAGTTCTTTTTATTACTCCGTATGACGTTTGATAAAAAACACCGATAAAATCTTAAAATAAAATATTTTACATAATCTTGACAATGCTTGTTAATAAGCATATTTTAATGCACCAAATAAAAGTGCTTATCAAATAATTCTCACCAAGATCACGTAATAACAAATAGTATAAAATCATAGTTTACAAATTAATCAGGATCTTTTCATTCTCTTGCTTGAGCAAATATGTACAAGTGATATGAACTTACCTGTTAGGGTCTGTTTAGTTTGGGATAATCTCACATGAAGGTTAGAATGTGATGCAAGGAATGTTAGATGCCCATGTTTGATTTGTGGGGTATAGAAAAAATAGGTAAAGTTACATTCCTGAGAATGTAATATGGGGGAAATGTTAAACTCATCCATGTCTTGGATTATCTGACCTAAGTTTCATCTAAAAATACCCTGAATTAATTATCTCTTTTCATTTAATTTCTTTTTGACTCTTTCATTTAAAGGTTCTTGTCTACTACTCCCTCCGTCCCTCAATGTTTGTCCTACTTTCCTGAAATGGAAGTCCCAAAATGTTTGTCCTACTTTTTTAACTTCCTTATTCGGCAAACAAATCTTTATCAAACAGTGCAAAACAGTGCCAAACAGTGTCGCTACAGTGTCAAACAGTGTCGCTACAGTGTAAAGTCAAATTCATTTCTTAATATTTGTGAAGTCAAACTAGGACAAACATTGAGGGACGGAGGGAGTATTTTTTACTATTTTTATTTAAATGTTCTTAATCTTTTACTATATATATAGGACAATGTTCAAGTAAGGTAGGCCCGTAGATTATATCCACCAAGTTAATCTTGTGAGCATGTTCTCCATGAATTGTAGATTATATCCACCAAGTTTCACAATAAAACTCAATCGGGAAGTCAGGTAAATAAATTATTGAAAAAATTGCATTATATATATAAATAAAAACCTGCGCAAATTTGAAAACATTATTTAACCGACTTTCCGATTGAATTTTAATCTGAAATTTGGTGGGATAGTCTACATTTCATGGAGAACATGCTCACAAAATTTCATCAAAATTTTTTACCCGAAAGCACCTCAAATGAAAGAGTCCTAAGAATTTCAATTCTTAAGGCCTACCTTACTTGAACATTTTCCTATATATATATGTGTGTGTGTGTGTGTATGTGTGTGTGTATATATATATATATACATTTGGGAAAAGGGGCAAATAAGGCCACGTACTAACCAAAAAAGGTCAAATAAGGCCTCATTTATGAAACTCTGTCCGGCCTTCGCCATTTGGAGTGGTTCTCGGTGGAATTTTTTGATGAATTTTTTTGACCATCTTATTCATTAAGTCTAGTTTACTCATAACAAATTTTAGCTTGCAATTCAACCGGGAAGGCATTCAAATGAATGCTTGAAGATAACTGTGTTTTTAACTGCGCAGTTATCTTCAAGAATTCATTTGAATGCCTTCCCGATTGAAGTTTTTGCTGAAATTTAGTATGAGTAAACTAGAGTTACTGAATAAGATGCTCAAAAAATTTCATCAAAAAATCTGACCGGGAACCACCCCAAATGGCGACGACCGGACAGAGCCTCTTAAATAAGGCCTTATTTGACCTTTTTTGGTTAGTACGTGGCCTTATTTGCACATTTTCTCTATACATTTTGTGTAGTTTATAGAATTATAGATATGTAAATTTTATTTACTAAAAAATAATTATATTATTGACAGAGATCAATTAATTTTATGGTCAGTCAAATATCGTAAATTGTGTGACAACCTTTTAAGTGGGAAGGATGTAGAGTGTTTATTTAATTACATTAAATTAGTTTAGATTATTTTAAAATATACTTTACTTAAAAATAATTCAATTAGTTTACATTTTATTTATTATTATGATATTTCATTTTTCTTTAATTTCAATTACTTTAGATGTAAGTTGCAATAACTGATATTCTCTCTTTCACAACCTCAAGAAACTGCCAATGGAAATGATGACATCCACATATGTTAATATGTATGTCTACCATAGTCTTCCTCCCTATCTCTAAATGGCAAGGTTCATTTTGCTCTTTAAATTAGACTGCCATCAGTGACGGACCCAGAAAATCAGAGTCACGAGGTCCCTAAATTGATATAACTCTTAATAATTTAAAATTAAAGAAAAATATTAAGAAACATAATGTTTCATAGTTAATGTATCAACATGTACATAAAACCAGTCTTTTTTATTCCATGCTGAAAATCCTATTCCCGAAAAATAATTACCACCAACTTCCCACTCATTTCAAAATGTTGCATCTTTGACAATACTATATTCCAACCATTTGTGCTCATCAAACCAACTTGAAACAAATTTACGTTTTTAGCCGCAATTACTTTAAAAAGGAAATCATGATCCCGAGGTTGAAACGACCATTTCTTAAGGTAACTACTCCATACCTCATCTTGAACACTAGGATAAAATCAGCATGTTGTTTATGTAGATTATAGGTCAAAGCAGTTCCACTTTCAGCAAGTACATGATCCAATTTTTTAGTTACTAAAGGCGAATCATTTAAATTAATATCTTAACTACTCTCAGTACTTCGAACTTCCTTAAATCTGGGTACACTACCGAAATATCTTTTCATCTTAAATTGTAAAGTTTCTAAAAAAAAACATTCATAAATATATAAATCTGTTACATTAAGTCAAAGAAAATTTATAATTAATTAAAAAAATGAATTAATAAGAAGTGTTGGAGGTCTGAGGGAGATACGTTGATGGCAATACATTTGCTATGGTCTGCGGTCGGTAGGGGTTTAAAAAATAAAAAATGGACCAAAACGATTTAAAATGCAGTTTTCATGGACCAAAAAAAAAACAAACGCAAGGGGTGATTCAAACCCGGAACCTCACGAATCAAAAAGTTTTAAACGCGTGTTTGCTCCAATTCGTCTGCTGCAGCCATTTGGTCACTATTTTGCTTATGATATATATATACATTTACCACTTAATATTGTAAAAATATATATAATATATATAGGTAAATTTTTCGAAGTCCACAAGGTCCCGAGAGCCCATGGGACCCTTAGTGGGTCCGCCACTGACTGCCATGGTTTCCGACTACAAGGTTCATCTTCGACACGAATTGGGAATTAATTGAGGCCCCTTCATCTTCTTCACCTTTTTGTTTTTGTTTTTAGCGTAGATGAAATGATAGTGACAGGGTTACACTTACAAGTGGGCAAGATTGGATGGTCACTGAGGGAGACTCGGGATTAACTACTGGAATCTATAGTGACATGGTTTCAATTACAACCAGAAAATAAGCTAATACGTAGTATTAGCTACTGTAATATATAGTGACTAGGTTTCAGTTACAACCAGAAATAAGCTAATATTAACTATTGCAATCTATAGTGACATGATTTAAATTACTACCGGAATAAGCTAATATCAGCTACTACTCCCTCCATCCCACTATTATTGTCCCATTGCGGTTTACGATTCTTAACCAACGATAAAGCAAATAGATCATTGTCCGCACTCAAATTATTTTTAGAAAAGAAAATACATATTCAGAAACTACATTACAATCTTTACAAAGTCACAAAAACCATAATCAAATTTGATAAGAATTTGATAAGAATTTGATATATAAAGTAAGAGATTAAGAGTGATTTGTGTTGATCTAGTGAATAGAAACCGGGACAATAATAGTGGGATAGAGGTAGTATAATATACTCCGTATCATGATTGGGTTTCTGTTACAACCAAAAATAAGCCAATATGTAGTATTAACTACTGTAATCTATAGTGACATGGCTTCAATTACAATCGGAAATAACCTGGGAGTAATAAAAAGTAAGCCGCCATAAATTTTAGGGAGTATATACTCTCCTCCTAAACTATGGTAGTTACTACAAATAAAAGAGTTCATAAAACCACCCTTGCTTTCTATTTAATTGCATGATAGATGCTTTTAATTACTCTAGTAATCAATTTTTTAGAAATTTAATTTTTGATTCACTTTTTTATCATCCCATATTATATTAGTACTACCTTCGTCCCATTTTATGTGTGTCCTTTGGTTTTGGCAACACTTTTAATAAAGTGGTAGAAAAGGTAAAAGTTGTGGTTGAGATTTGAGTATAGTAAAGTGAAATGTTGTGAACCACATATTTCTTTTCAAAAAGGGAAATATGACACTTATTTTGGGACAACTCAAAAAGGAAAGTAAGACAGGTAAAATGGGACAGAGAGAGTAATATTTATAAAAAAGGCCCTGAATGTAGAATGCCGTTTACCCTTATTTATATTCATTTATTAAAGTTTACCAGTAACGTCATTAAATAACATTATTCATAAAGAAACTTATTTAACTCGCTTAAAATGATTGATATGATTTTCTAAAAGCCGAGGTATTACAGAATTACATGCAGCTACTCAGAATGGGATGCTAAAATTAGGAAAAGTACATATGCATATTTCTTACTTTGTGTTTCTAGGATATGACAACATATTGGCATAACTCACCCAAATCTATTGCAGCAATACCTGTTGCCTCTGATACATCCGTCTCCCTCCTGTGTGTATATGTTTCAGGCTGATCGTCATAACTCAAAATTTCATCTGATTGCAAATTGAAAGAGATGTTTAAAACATATCCATTTCAATTGTAGAAGAATCCAGAATTTAGGATTTCAGTTACAATTATTTATTGTTTTCAGTTACAAAACTTGTAGTTAATATTGTAATTAGAGCTTACCTTATACACTCTCTATATCTGTGTATAAATACCACCACATACTATGGAATCAAGCATGGAATTCAGCCTAAACATCATGTCTCTTCTAAATCTCTTTATGGTATCAGAGCCATAAGAGCTCTCACCAGCCAGTCATCCCAAGTCTGGCAATGATCAACATACAGAAGATCTCCAGGGAATAGAGCATGGAATTCAGCCTAAACATCATATCTCTTCTAAATCTCTTTATCAATTAGGTTATGTTTGGAACCCAGTAAATGGTAGGTAAAGAATAAAAGGAAATAAAGGGGAAATTATGATGAGAATAAAGAATTGGTTCAAACTCAATAGATTTGACTTTTGATTTTATTAATATAATTCTATTATATAAAAAATTAAAAACTAACAAATATGAATACATGCAAAATTTTAGAACTTTAATCAAATTTGACTTCCTTAGTGTTTAGCAATATAAACCAAACATAAAACATCATTCTCCTAAACACTTTGTTCCTTTTCCCTACTATTTTTTGAGCTCCAAACATAGCCTTAATGCTCTTTTGGGTATACGGTATACCTCTACATTGAGTCATCTAAACTACATGCTCATTGCACTATATGAAAAATACTTGTTTTTCATTTTACTTTTTTTATCCGATACAAATAAAATATACAAACAAAATGAACATGAAACTATTAAGAGTCTTTACAATGGTGTCATTATACTCTTTTTAAAATTATGCCTACCACTCTTGGAAGTTGGAACTTTAGAAAACGTAAATAAAAAACCATAGAGCATATAGTAAGAGCAGGGGAGAGCTCCCTAAATAGGACCAACACATGTTAAATTTCCAAAAATTGGAGTTAATATTAAAAATACCATAAATAGGACTTATTATTTGTGAATTGTATTTGAACAAAAATACTCTTATAGGGGTTGGAGCAATGTCGGACCATTGCTATTCGCCGGCCGCCAGAAATCTGCCGACTGCTGCCATCGCCGACTGCCATGGTTATGTTGGGAAGGCAGTTAATTCATCACATTATCATTACCCTAAAGCCGCAAAGGCTCCCACCTACGGTGGGGGTAGAAGGATCGGATGTACGCAGCTTTACCCCTATACTAAAGCACATAAAACGCATCGAAAATTGCATGGACTGACTACTGCCTCATAACAAAGAAGGACATGTAGTTTAATGAGTCATTTGCTTTATTTCATCATATTCCCAAGCCAAAAAATAATGAGTATTTGGCTCCATTGGAAATGATGGAATTGGGAAGGCAATTAATTAAATTAATTAATTGTTTAAGGGTAGAAATGTGATATTTAGTTATATTTAAGGAAAATAAAACATGGAGTCCTGGGGAATGCTCCTAAGTTTTAGTCCTATTTACTGCAATTCTCTCTTAGACCACTGTGCTAGACAGCCAGTTGCCTACTTCAGTCAAAGTGTCATTGGCTAAACATCTGTCGAGACTTAGTAGTAAGCTTAATAGACTTTATGCAAGTGTTTTCCATATTCTAAAATACACTGGAACACTTTTTTTATTCAGGTAATAATAATTCCTCATACAAATAAAATTGTTTGATTTCGCACTGGAAGGTCAAGAACTCAAGAAAGTTTAACATTGACATATGCATTAGTTCACATAATCTCTGACACAAAAAATAATTATTTTATACCTCACTCGATACACCTTAGTTCAGAATATAAACAAAGAATATGGTAACTTAATTAAACTGACTCTAAAAAACACAAAGTAAAAGCTTATGAACTAATGACCACAGGAGGTACCTTTTACAGGTCGACAAGCATTACATTCCCATGGCTCGCAGACCCTTTCTTCCCCAAAATTAGAGGCTACAGGCTTCATTAATCCATGTGTACAAAAAATCTGCACATCATATATCATGGTTTTGTCTCCATCATGTCTAAACAATAGGCAGTCGTTTTCACAAAGATTATTTTCTTGGTAAAATTCACCCCATCCTTTCTTTAGAAATAAGCCATCTGCCAATAGAGATACTTTGACCATCCTATACCGACCAGAAGGGCTTCTTAGAATTGCTTTGCCCGATAAGCCTTTTTTCTCTTTCTTCATGTACTTCTTCAATTTCATTGGGACTCGCTTCAAATTCAAATTAGAAACACAAAGGGTATCAATAAGTAATTATTAAGCAATATATACTGCACTCAGGCTTAGAAAACAGTGTAAGCTTCAGCTTATAGTAAACTTTTGATAGAAACCTCCGAATTCCAGAACAGTTTACAGAAAGATTAATATGGAAACACTGAAAACTTTATTGATGAGATATGATCGATTACAGGAGAAACACAGTAACAAAGGCCGAAGCCTCCCAAAAGATAGAGACGGCTAGTCTCAAATCTTCCCAGTCCCAGACAAATGTCCCAAAAGCCTCCTTATGCCTTCCTCCCCTTTTCTATTTATAGTATAAGCCCATCTTATTATTCTCTATAATAATAGGCCCAAAATAACAGGCCCACTAAACAGTAGCTATTCTTCTAGTGTTCATATTAGAATTATTATCTATTATTACTCAAATAGGTAGGTCCCTATCAATACTCCCTCCCTAAACATCCACCTTGCCCTCAAGGTGGGGCGGTAGGAGACAGCCAAGATCTTCCGCTTCTTCTTCTTCCTTGCTCCTCTTCCTTCCCAATAGCTAACTGGTTGATGGACTGAGGACTTCTGTACTATATCTTTTAAAATCACAGAACTTTCAGCAGTAAAAGAGTTTTCACAAGTGGAAGCTTAGAATGCTAAGTGCCGCCTCCAAATGTTTGAAGTATTTAAATTGCAGAATTTGTACTGCAAACTAACACTGAGAGATATAAACGTATATCTATGGTGCTTTGATAACCTATATCTCAAGGTTCATGATGCTTATATTACACATGCAAGTATCGGGTATTAAGCTCACATCTCTCCGAAGTTTAGAGTACTTCAATTGTTTTTCCCTTTAAAATATATACATGACAATTTTTATTTTTTAAAGAACGTTAATGAGCTTTAATATGATGAAATAGGGAGTGCAATTTTTAATAAAGAAATGTGCAAAATAGAATAGTAAATTACCATTTTTTCCTGGTCCCCATCAAGCCCTATAGTTCCATAGAAGTGATCTACTTCGACATTTGTCACCTTTTTGGACTCTTTGTTTTTTGCCATGTCCACTAGATATCAAATCATAAAATAAATGTTATTCCTCTATGAATTCACATCATTCCTTATATACAAAAATTGTCAAGGTATAATAGAGTGAGAGGAACATAATGAAACAAAATTGAGTGATAAATTCCTAAATATATATAAAGTCGATGCCACATAGCATCTATTCTCCACATTTTTTCTTTCCTCAAAAGGAACGATGAACATAAAAGTTGGTATAATTAATAAACAAAATAATTAACTACACTTACTATATCTTTACCATTTCTTTTTATTTTCCCTTTTTATTTTCAATCTGAATATGATAAATATAGTAAAAATAAACAGACACCATACATGGAAGGAAAAAACAAGACACCACAAACACACAGGGATATGCAAATGTACCATCTGAGGTCGAAATCTTAGCAAGATTTAAAAGGCTAGTAAACGAACCTTTCTGTTCGAAAAATTAATCAAACTTTAAACCCGACCTCTGTGATTCTGTCATCTTTCATCAATCGAATGACAGTATATATAGCGATAAAAAAAGGAGAGACCAAAGAACCTTGTTCAACTTACAAGTATCTTGGTATTCTGAAAAGACTCTCAAGTTGAAGCAGCAGCAATTCTACTAGGGTTAGAATGAGTAAGTGATACATTTATACGCCTATTTGAAGATTCTTAGCAATTGGGTTGGGCCACCAAGGTTTTCTATGCAGTATTGGCCCATATTTCATTTTTAAAAATCTATTTGGAAACAACTAGCCTGTGATAAATACTCGACAGAAACGGAGGTAACCATTAAGGCGTATCATTATAAATTTAGTTCCCATTTTTATCTCAGATGTACTTATTTGAACCAATATAGATATAAACATACAGATTAAAAATAATACTTCTTCTAAAAAAAGTTTACACTTGATGGTCAAGAACTCGAGATGTTTTAACATTGATAAATATTTAAGAGCACTTCCCTTTGTAATCTTTGAGAAAAAACTTATTATGTACCTCACCACGAGTCTGCCAACCTTTCCTTTTCAGATATTTTACAAAGATTGTGGCAATCTGATCACTGATAATAAAAAGGTAAAATTTAAGTACAGAGTAAGAGCTTATGAAATGAGTTCAAAAGGTATATTTACCTTTTACAAGGTGGGAAGAATTGTATCATAGTTTGCAGACCTGTTTTCCCAGAATCAGAGGCTTCCAGCCTCAGTACATCATTTACTCACAAAGAATTGCACAAGTTTTGGTTTTGCGTCCATCATATCTAAATAAGAGGAAGTCGCTTTAACAAAGATATTTTTTTTGTAAAATCCCCCCACCATCCTTTCCTTAGAAACAAGCCCTTTTCCTTTAGAGATACTTTGACCTTCCAATACTGACCAGAAGGGCCTCTTAGAATTGCTTTTCCTGATAAGCGTTTTTCCCTTTCTTCATGTACTTGATTGAGTTGAATCCCACTTGGATTGTGGTACACTTCAAAATCAAACTCACAATACAAAGGGGTGAATCAATGAATTATCACATATCAAACATATGAGGCTTATAAAACAGCGTGAGTTTGAAGTTATAGTAAACTTTAGATCTTATCAGTTATGACTATCAATGCAAATGAAGCACCTGGGTGAGCTGGATTCACTTACTGGTACACCCTATCACTAATCAGTTCACCTTCAGATGGACTTTACCTAATGTTTAAGATTATATTTGTGAGTTAAGAAAGACTTTACTACTTATGAACATTATTATATCATTTTGGACATATGGTGTGTGGCAAAACGAATGGAAAATAAGGATTTCATAGACAGTATCTGAATGCTTTCTATTGGTTCATGTAGCCAGCACCATTGATTTGGGATTAAGGGATGGTTGCTGCGGATGTGATGTATCAATATTTTGACTTGTTTAGTGGGATAACATGTGCAAGCCTGGAAGATAAGATCTCTTAGCATCTTCAAATTTTCTAACCTGGGTATGCAATAACTTCAGACGGACATACAAAAAATGTTTCACTAACTGATGCCATGTTGCCACTTACACTACAATACACCAATTTTTTCTTTACATGATATACAAATATCAATCTTCTAACTTTCCAGCCATGTTACTCTTATGGGGGAGATTATAGGATCATCTATTTTTTAAGGTATTCTATATTCAGAGTCAAACAGTATGGGAGAATTCGGTGAAGAGGTGGGAAAATAAATCATTTGTAAAAAGAATAAGGAGGAGAAGGGGAATTTTAGATACTTTGATCATTGGGTTTTGGATAAATGGAAGCCAGAAAGATCTATGAAGCTGTTAGAGATCATGACTAGAACAATCCGTGAAAAACAAATGACAGAAAATATATATTCTAGTACAATTGCGGTGTAACGAGGACAATATTGAAAAAGTATGAGGCTTATATATAGAATGGTTGCGGCTAGTTCGAGGCCAGACTAGTCACCACCATACCAACGGCTTATGCACAGAACAATGGGATGCAGCAGAGCAGAAGCAATGGTGTTTCAAATGCACATGACAGAAAAAAGAGTATGCATTGGGATGTTGAAAAGGATGCAACAAATGGATCCCAATTTGATCACCTTAGAAACCTTAATTTGTGGCCATGGACAAGCAAAACATACATGAAATTTCAAGTGTTAACTTAATCATGGAGAAATGGGTGTTTCTCCAAGGAATAACACATTTTCCGTGTTGCAGATGTGTGATGATTTGCAATTTTCTTTATCAAACGATTCCTGAACTATAGAGGAACAGAGGAAGAGATCATAGCACACTGACTTGATGTCCAAAAAAAAGGAAATCCAGAAGATGGCCTACAAAGAGTTTATCAAAGGAAAAATGGATGGTTCTTTCTCAAGCCAATGACAAATGCCCAGTCTATCATAACCAGCAGGAACAGTTTAACAATTTCAAAAAAAAAATCCTAAGTAGAAATGAAATATACTCCCTCCAATCAAACTTAGAAGTCTCAATTGCTTTTTGCACAGATATTAAAGAAACAGATAGCATGTGAACAACATTCCAAGTTCACCAATTAATATGTGGCTAACTTTTATTGCCACAGCAATATTAAATTGGCGAAATTCATAAGAATAATCCATACTTTCAGGGGTTCTACAATAATAATCCCCTATTGAGAGTGTCCATAAAAATAATCCGAACTAGCAATGGTGTCCACAAGAATAAATTGGAGTGAATTCAAACTAATGCCCATTTAATATTTCCAACCCCTACTGCCACATTTCCATTCACCGCTCTTCTTCTCCGGGTGAACTCAAACTAAAACCCATTTAAAACCCATTTCCGTATTAAATGGGTATTAGTTTAAATTTACCCCAATTTATAATTGTAGACACGATTGCTAGTTCGGATTATTTTTATTAACACTCTCAGTAGGGATTATTATTGTAGAATTCCTAAAAGTATGGATTATTCCTATGAATTTCGCCTATTAAATTTGTGCATTCAAGGGAGATATTATTATGTGGCACACATTCATTAGGTAATGGTCACATGTCTAACTTTTCATCATTCAATGGTCACATGTCTAACTTTTCATCATTCAATGGATGTGCACCACAGAAGAATGTCTACCTAGATTTTACAAACCTAATGTCCGCCAGCATTACTCATTGTGCAAATAGGTCAATATGTACCTCACCGCTTTTTCTTGCTACAATTCTGGTGATTTTTTTTCCTAAATAACATTCTAAGTGACTTATTTATCCACAGCTGAGCGCAGTCACTTTTATGAATAATTTGAGCTTCAACATAGTAATTTTTTGACTTTCGTCTAGACTCTAGATACAATACATTTAGCTACAGAGAGTCGGGCATTGTGTCATCCATAGATAACAACCTGAATAGCACATGTTTATACACTTCACAATAAAAATAGAGTTTAACTCAAGTGATTGGCTGTCTGAGTTGCATCCACAGTGTCCTGGGTACGCTATGTGTGTAGTGAACATTCCATAGAACTTAGCACACTGGACAATATAGATAACTAAACTATTGTCTTCAGGAACGAAACTTAGAAGAATCTAAATATTACTGCAAGATCTATTTTAGCATGTAGAGATGACAATTGGGCTTGTGTTTAACAAAATTGTTTGAAAAGCATTAACAGAAATTTAATAACATAATGTTGAAAGAATGCAAAGGAAATCATAAAAAAATGTTCATCAAGTAAAATCTGCAGAGCTAAAATTACAACCAGGAAATATTCTGGAGGGTAAAAAACTGTAGTAAATTGCAACTCAGCCACAAAGCACAAACAAATTCAATAAACCTCAAAAGAGTTTGGTTTGTGTAGCAGGACTAAAGCTTACGGGCCTAATTACATCAATACAGCCCCTTTAGATGCAAATTGTGAGTAGGGTGAAATGCTTCTAAATTATGAGTACGTATATTGCACTTTCTCTCCCCATAATGCTACAAACAAAGTTACTCCATTAATGCATCTCATCAAATAAAGTAAAACTTCTCTGACACTTGATTTCCTCAGATCAACTTTCTGCCATTAAGTCAGTAGCAATGAATGTAATCGCCTTAGAACATCACCCCATCAACATAATCGCCTTAGAACAGTAGGAATGGTAGGTAGGTAATGCTAGTGCTAATGGGCTTTGATTTAAAAAAACTAAGTGAGCAGTTCATAATAATAATTTACATAATTACGCCTCAAGAGACGTTTCCATCATTTGCAATGGAGCCAAAGACACTATTTTTTGTCTTGAGAATATGATGCAATAAAGCAAAATGGCTCACTAAACTGGTTGCGCTTCTTTGTTATGAAGCAGCAGCCAGTCCATACAGGTTTGGACGCAATTTTCACTATGGGTCATCTAGAAACAGTCTCTTTGTGCTTTAGTACAGGGGTAAGACTGCGTACATCCGACCCCCCCTTACCCCACCGTAGGTGAGAGCCATTGCGGCACTGGGGTAATGATGATGATGACACCTCGAGAGACACTTCTCTTTGATTTTGTTCTTTAACAGTTAGGCAAAAGTCATGGGGCTTATTGTTCACCACTCCTTTAGTGTGTTGTTTGTCTCAGCAACCAATCCTTGACTCAATGGATTAGGTAAGCATTTATATATGACTGAGGTTTAACTTTTCCACAGCACACATCCTAACACACGATTGGATCAAGGAATTCGAGGGGATTAAACAAAAAGCTCCCTTTAGTCACACGCTTGATTTACTATAGTGTTCAGACTTCAGAATAAGTTATGAGCTCATACTCCTGCCTGAATATGAGCTTTCGCTAAAGTGATTTGGATGTGCGCACTATTTATCAATCTTTGTACCTAAAGTGATCGAGAATTTGACTGACACAAGAAAGAAGCGCAGACAGTTTAGTGAGCCATTTTGCTTTATTCCATCATATTCTCAAGCCAAAAAATATTGAATCTTTGGCTCCATTGCAAATGATGGAATGGTTCTACTTACGAGTACTTTGGTAAAAAAAAATATCTCTGTAGGTGTAGCTGAACTAACTCAACTAGGGTTAGAATGAGCAAGTGATTTATTTACAGGCCAATTAGAAGAATCTTAGTATCTTACCAACTGGGTTGGGTACTTGGGCCACCAAGGGTTTGCCAGTAGCCCAGTAACATTGGCCCATATTTCATTATCAAAACAACTTACTTGAAAACCACTGGCCAGTGATAACAATAATTGGAATCAGAGATAACCATTGCAGCAGTGTATCCTTCAATGGCAATATTGGCCTATATATCAGTATTGAGAAAAGAAAAACAATTTATGAATGTGTGAATGTCTTGGAAGTCTTAGAAATTACCATTCCATTCATACAATAATTGATAAAGTTGGATCATTCAATTCTTTTAAGATAACTACTGATCATTTTCAACAAGATGTTATAGCATTTATAGCACTTCGACTCAAAATGTTACAAACTAGGGATCCAATGGAAAGGGAATAATTTAAGAGGCAAATAATAGTTTTTATTGACTCTCAACTAGCTTGGAGAATTTTATTGAGTTCCTCTTTTAAGTAACTTTTCGTTATCATTACTTGTTTATAAATGGACACCAAACCCCCTTATATAGATAGGCTTTAAAAATACTTCCCAAACTACAACTGAGGGGACTAAATAACCAGTAAATTATTTAGCGAAAAATATTGAACTGCAAAACTATTCCCAATATGCAAACTGAGTGACTGAATAACTAAAAACTAAAAAAGGTAAACTGATAAATAGTTTAATGCAATGTCACTAATGCCACAAACTCATATCATCACACCCATCAATGACATCACACTTGCCCTCAAGCTTTAAAACAAGAACATGATTCATGATTGTAGTGGCACCTACCTTTGTATGACTCAAAGTGTTTGGCATATTGTTACCACAATGAGAAAAAGAAAAAGCTATAAACATTCGCATAACTCTGCCACAAAAAGGCAGCGAGAAGTGAGCCACCCTTCCTACCAGATGTAGATTCATGTGGAATGTCTGATAGAAGGTAGATGTGTCTGGCTACAGCTATGAATACAAAAAGAGAAAGTGGAGGAGTTGGCAGCGGTGGATTTGCAGGTAACTGAGGTGGAGGATTAGTATTCGTGGTGAGTGCATCAGATGGCATGGTGCTGTGTGGTTTTGATGTGGGACAAGCTTGTGTGGGGGGCTCATTAGAAAGGTATGTTTCGTTGAAACTGAAATGCTAACTAAAATAATGACTGATAAATGTAAAATTGCCATAAAAATAAAATTTTATAGACATAAGATAAAATTTCACTAATGGGATAGTAAAGTTGACATAAGCTTACGGTAAACTAAATGGCTGAACTAAACCGCTAAAATTAGCAACGATTTAGAATAGCTGATTAATTTTAGACCCAACCAAGTTCAGCTTTTCATCCAAACAAGGCTACATGTGTGTTAATTGTCTAAATTGATCAAACCTAAGCTCATTTTAACCTGAAATCATCGTGCAAACATAGCCAAAGTTATTCTAATAACTTTTAAGTCGTGTTGTTCATTTTATATCTCTTGAGCGTGTGTTGGTCATCATGGGAGTTTAAAATAATCCATGATGTCAACAATGCAACCACAATTTTACGAAGGGGATCGATGAGTCACGGGAAAATATTATTTGAATGTTTGACAAGACTTTTTATTGACACTGTCAACTTCCTTAGATGTCTATATTGAGATCATCATATCCCTAAATTATTTTTCTCAATGAAGGTTTAATGTTTGAGATCAAATCTTCTTATACATTATATAGGTGCCATTTACAAGGCTTCAAAAACAAACTAGATAACTAAATAACCAAGAACTGATCAAGGTGAACTATTAATAGCTTACCTCTTTTTAACTACAAACTGTGTAACTAACTGACCAATGACTATATAGAGCAAACTTATTAAGAGCTTAACTATTATGTCGCTAATTAATAGTTTTGCCTTGCAGCAACTAACACATACCAATGCCTGCTACGATAATATGTAATATTTTCTCCGTAAAAGAACTCTGGATTTTTTACACTATTACTGCTGTTTACTGTTTTAGTTAAAGTCAGTAAAATTATGAAATTAGATATTCAGTTGAGGAGATTGTTGTAAATGCTCTAATGCCTCCAAACTCAATAATACAAAATTGTAAAACTAGGTAAAAGCTATGTTGTTAAATGGCAATGGTACTGAGCATAAGGAGTATCATTTTATATGTTGAAGAAACTTGTTCTCAACTTCTCTTTCAGGACAAAGAAAGATACATTGTGTGAAGAGAAGGACATTGGGACATGAACCAAAGACCCCTCTGTACATCAAGATGTGATTAAAGAAAGGAAAGAAAGGAAAGAAAGGGAATCAGGAGTGATCCTTCCCTTGTCATTTTGACAAGAGGCCGCTTCCAAGACTTGAACCCGTGACCTCTGGGTCTCACAACAACACCATAACCGGTGTGCCACGGCTCCCCTTCCAGGATGTGATTACACTTGAGCAAAAAAGTGAGGGCAAACTAAAGTATGCCCTAGCGCACAGCATAGAATGTGAAAACATAGCTATGGAAATTAGGACATGAGTATCAATGTTGGGATCCTACCTTTAATGAGTCTTTCATTCTTGAAATGCCGCCTTTGGAAAAGAAGTTACATTTCCAATTCTGTCCCGCTCTTAAGTTATCCTTTGTCGGTGAATAAACATTGTTTGCTTTTATTGTACATGTCTTTTGTTTCAGATAAGTTTATTTTAACTATGTTTTCTTCATGGAAGTGAAGAATGAACAGCTATTTGGTAGACTATATTGTACTTCTTAGTTAACAATCTATCTCATCATTAAATCAAAATTATCTCTTTTTTGTGAGTAGATGCTAACTAAGAGTAATAAAAAATGATAGTCCCTCTATCATTTTCCTTTTATTATAGAAGGCAATATTTCATTAGTAACTTACCCACCTCCTAGAATGTTCTGTTTGTACTACCTATATTTATGTTATTGCCTGCACATAGACATCTGAGAACAATCCATATGAATTCTATTGACCTTAGGTGTCTCCTAATGGTTTAGTAAAATATAACACTACAAAATAATAACCATCTATGGCAGAGTGAATTCCAAGTGGCCTTCTAATATACTCCCATAGCATCGAACCTAGGGTGGGAGCCTTTGTAGCGCTGAGGTAATGATGATGAATGGATGAATGAAGAGCCTCTAACCTAAAAAACCCAGGCATGTATCCATCCTATTGCCTAAAGTTTGAATAAGTTATGGTCTTAAAATTGCAATGGAAGGTGAATTGATAACTTTGGTAATGCTCAGTGTTCTAAAAAACATAGGCAGTCCCTAGAGGGTAAAGTAGGGCCTAACGCTTATGCAAGACTAGACGGGACCAAAGGAGCCTAAATTGGACCCAAATCCAGGGAAAAAAAAATCATAGGCAATCGGGGGAGGACTAGCACATAGGCGGAGCTTGACAGTGATTCTTAGTAAACAGGCTACTATTCAAAATATGAAGCCATACAAGATACTTTATAGGAAAAATTTATCTTACAGATTCCACCTTTATAAAAAAAAGTGCTGTATAATCTGAAAATGAGAGCTTTACACACAACATGATCTTAAAATAATTAGACCTTAACACACAACATCTGCTTTGGCTGCTCCCTTGTCGCGTTATACGTCTTTTTCGTTTTTTCTTTCCTTTTAGTTGAAGCCCAGTTATCAACCTCATCAGCTCAGGTAAGTATGTCCAAACATAAGATGGTGTGGACCACTACTATCATCACCCAAACCGCCATAAGACCTCCAAATGTTGGACTAGAAACCTTCGCCATAGGCACCAACAACTGTGAATCTTTCTAATCTCATCATATGAGAATAAAATAAGAATAAATTATCATGTATTGTATTAGGAATTAGTGTCAAAATTTTAAAAATATGTCGATTTTAAAAGTTTAGGTGTATTCAATGTGGACATTTAAAAGTCTAAAAAAGTTTAGGTGTATTCAATGTAGACTTTTAAAAGTCTATAAAAGTCTAAGTGTATTCAAACTTCCGTTCATTGTTATGTCTCTTCTCTTCATCAAAGATTTCCATGGACTCTCTATTGTCTTCTACTCGTCACAAGTATGCATAGATCTGGTTGCAGATTGACTAATTATTTACCTGAGATCACACCCCGGCCAACAAGTACTGAACCAGTACCGCCCGGGTCAGGAGATGGGTATCGGGGTGGTCTCAATATGCAAGATTTGAACATTAAATTTTTATTTATTTATTTATCATTTTACGATAAATAAAGTTGAACAAGAAGATTCTACATTAATACTGATACACAAGATAAACTTAAAAATAATTAAAAGGTGATATTTTATATGTCATCTTACGAAGAAAATGTAGGGGTGAGATCCGTTCAGTTCTTGAAAGAAAATTAGGAACCATTTGAAGAACCGTTAATTGCATATCGATTCGGTTCTAGAAGTTTTTAGAAGAACTGATATAAGAATCGGTAGTATTACATCGGTGCAATTCTAAAATATTGAGGTACGGTGCAATTACATCGGTTGCCAGTTAACCATTAAGAATAAAATATTTTAACTATTATTGTGTTTCATCGTTAAACCGCTAACACATAAAAAAGTAATTTCAAATTAATAAACATTTAACTGTAAATAAGTATACAAAATTTAACAAGATAAAAATGAAAGGAAAACAATTATTAAGAAGAAAAATTCAATTGCAACTATGCTTGTGTAACGATTAATGTTCTTATTCATTGAGTTGTGTAATATAACAATTGATCATAAAGAAATCGAGATTGTTGAACATTCTCGAAACTTTGAGTTTTCTTTTTAATAAATACGGAGTATAAATTTGGATGCTTATGCTTCATTTATTATTGTAGAACTTTGTGTTGCTAGAACTCATGGTGCTATGGTAGTACGAAAACATACTAGTAGCATTTTACACAAAGCATAATCACATGTTTGATTTTCCTTAAATAGGACTAAATATTACATTTTTACCCATAATTTAGTTAATATAATTAATTGCCACTAATTTTCCCAAACCAGATTCTACGGAAACACTGATTTGAACTATCTCCTGCGGTTTTTCTAGGGGCGTTTGTCCGGCAACGATCATTTGGTCGTGGTGCGAGTTTGGATTTTGCGTTTGTTAGTTGCTAACCTCAGCATAGCAGATCGTTTTTTGTTTCTTTTTTGGGATTGGGGTCATCGACCTAATCTTTTGGGATCTGTCTTGGTTGATTCGAGCAAGACATTCGTTGGTTGCTTTGATTGTGCCCGAGGTGTTCGACTGTTCGGTCTCGACAATGAGCAGGTATGGAGTTTCTGGCAGAAGGTTAGAGCAACAGTTTTGTATGGATAGCTTCGTGGATAAATACAAGAAGACGGTGAATGGGGCAGAGGAGGAAGAACTGGATCTAGATGAAGCTGATGTTGAGGTTGTGGCGGATGAACGGTGCCCCCCCCCCCCCCCCCCCTCCTGAGCCGCCACCATGGAGTGCAAGCAAATCTAGGGTATGGAAGAAGACTTATCTTATTTGTTTTATTGGTTTTTCCAGTGATTTCTATGTCTGTTTTGTTATTTGCTTTTTCTTTAATGTTCCTGTTTGTAAGATTTTGGATTTGGATGTGGGGGATGAGATGAATACAGTAATCGTTTTTGGCTTTGGTGCTCCCATTTATGGATCAACGAATTATATTGCTTCTCTGGAGGTGATTAATTCCGAGTCTGGTTCGCGGGACGACGGTTGTCAGATTTCTTTTTGTCGTTTTACCCATACTCTGAATTATGTGTTATCAATATAAGCCGAATTCTTCCAAAAAAATTGCCACTAATTTTCATGCATAACCAAAGCCATTTTACTGGTGGCGGGTCAGACCGATGACAACGACATCGAACTCCGGTGATGGAGGCGGACAGGCAAATCGGTAGCAGCGATCTGGGTAAAAATTTCGACAACCCAGCAGTGACGGTCCAGATTCATAAGTCTATACTTTTTGAAAGTCTATAAAATTGTCCATGAACTTAAAAGTCAATAGAATTCATTCATAAAAAAGTCTATGGATATTAAAGTCCATTGACTTTTTACGTTTCTCATAAATCAGCTCTATAATGGATGGGAATTTCCTAAAGACATTGTCATCCATTAGTTTATTTGATGATTAATTGAATGATGTGTAAGATCATATTAAAAAAAAAGTGTAAGATCACATTAAAAGCTATCACAAGAGATTATCAAGAAAGAAAATTTGATATCAAAATTCAAATCTGAATTATTTTAGATTGTAGTTAAATTACATTTAATGCATATCTTTTGTAGTTAAATTACATTTAATGCATATCCTAGATAAAATTAATTATTTGAGTATCATTGTTGATAGAAAGTTTCAGTTTTGAGATTATTTAAAACTTGTTGATATGTATGATGTGGCAAGTGGCAATGACGTGTAATAGAAAAGCTGTTTGCCTGTTTATTTAAAGAGTACAAATGGGTGTGCTCATTTATTTAAACACTACCATGTTAAGTGCTCTATATCAAATTACAACAAATCACCGTGTGAGATCACTTTAGTATTACTATTAACGCAACCAATAAAAAATACTATTATGTACTACCTCGTCCCTCTTATATTGGGACCGAAGAAGGTGACACGATTTCTAAGAAAAGTGAGTTTTTGTGGTTGAAATTAATTGATAAAGTAAAAATAAAGTAAGAATGATTTTGAGTCACACAAATTTTATCAAATATGATACGGAGTATGAGAAAATTTTAGTAGGACTTCTCGAAAAAGTAAAACGAGACAATATAAGGGGACGAAGGGAGTATCATATTCAACCTACTTTCTAATTATTTTACAATGTAGATTTATTGGCCCAAACAAAGTTGTTGGGGTCACTCAATTGTCAGTTCGTCATGAGACTAGAATCTAACATCGATAGACTAACCATGCTGAATTAAAAATCGTACATATAACTTTCGGCATACCATGATTTTGGTTGATTTTAGTATTACAATACCTTCAAATGATATTTATTCTTATCATATTATGTCTATGTTCCCTACAAATCAGCTCTGAACAAAAGTTATTATCAAACAATTTATTTTAGTTACAATATGTGATTCATCTTTCACAGTAAAAACTCGCTATCAACTACTCCCATAATACCATTTTGGTCATTTTTCACCACCACCTCCAAAGATGAGTTCTTCTATCAAGTACTTCTCCGTTCCGAAAAAGTTTTCCAATTAACTTTTCACGGTCAATAGCAATCAACTTTGATCAACGATATTTTTTAATATAAAATCATTTTGATCTAATTACATAAATATGACCAAAACAAAGACGATTTACAAAAATATGATTAGTGACTAGACTAATAATGAAATCATAGTAATTCATATTCAAATTTGTGCTTAAGTTACCACAACACTACATTGTAGTAATGAATAGTCATATTTATGTAAATATGTTTTATTTTAGTAATATTCTTGTAAAAACCCTAAAAACTATATCATAATGTTCCTTATTCAAATATTTTCATAAAAGTATAAAATTCATAAATTATACTAGTATACAAATATAATAATAAAAAACATTGTTTAAATTTGCGATTATTGACCAATAGAAGTCAATATTATTAAGCAGTGCTAGTATGATTCAATTTTGAGTATTTTAATTGTGAACAATGTTAAAAGGGTAAGACGTGCCAATGCGGCATGACCAAACTTTAATCCTTTGAAGCCTGGGCGAGCCTAAGCGGGCCTTAGGCGTGAAAAGGAGTTTTATTTTTTATCCTTTATTTTAAATTTTTTCAAGACTATTTTTAAATATAATACATAGTACTACCTCTGTCCCCCTAATATTGGGACGAAAGGGAGTAGTGTGGTTTTTAAGAAAAGTAAAATTATGTAGTTGATAATGAGTTGATAAAGTAAGAATAAAATACGATTGAATTACGGCCACACAAATGTTACCAAATATGGTATGAGACAAAATTAGTGGGACGGAAGGAAAAGGGAAAATGAGACACTAGTAGAAAAAGGCCTTATAGTGATACTATTTTTGTGTCACAGAAAGTTTCTGTGACACATATCATTCGTCGCAGAAGGTAGGAAATGGTGACACTAAATTTAGTGTCACAGGTGAAATGTCACCAAATTATGATGCTTAAGTATCACTAAAAATTTTGACACTCATGTATCACAATTACATGTGATACTGTAATGAAACAAAAAATCATGATACATTAGTATCATATAAATAAATGATGCCAAGACATCAACAAAATTTGTAACACCATAGTATCATTATGTTTTATAAAACACCAATATATCATTCATATTCTTGATGTCCTTACATCATTAACTCTAAGCATCTTTGAATAACATATACAAGTCATTCAAGACACACTAAAACAGTAACGACACAAAATATGAAAATCCCACAATTTTCATTCACACAAAAAATTCATCCACGAGTAGTTGTACATATCCTTACAATTTCACCAAACTACATAACAAGTACATGTTTGACCAAAATACACAATCATGATAATATAATCAAGCAATTGTTTGTTGTTGCTATAAGTGCCGAACTAATTTATGGTTTGCTTCTAACTTCCAGCAATCCAGCCGTATTGCAAACTTCTCCAACCAAATCATCTAGTTCTATACAAACAAAAATATAAAGAAAATCAAGAGCATCAAACATTTAAGTTGCCAATGATCACACATTAGTATCCTAATAAAGTACGTTAACACTCCACTTTCTCGTCAATTGTAATACTTAAATAGCAAAAGACCTCCCTAATAGTAAATATCACAACATAAGACATATATGATATTAACGTATCAAATCTTAACTT